GCATTCTCATTCATAGATTTAAGAGCATCTGACAGTGAGTCAAAGGTAGCTCCTCCTTTACTGTCAACATTATCAGCTCTGGACAACCACTTGGAGAGACACTCTGTCAAGCATCCAGATACATCACCAGGATGATTCCTTTCAATGACGTCCAGTGTGTTCTTGTGTAGTCCTAGTGTCAGTCCTAGTTCCTTCCATCTCCTCTGAGGGAAACGACATCTCTTCAACAGATTAAGTACATCAATAAGTTGACCTAAAATCATACTCAATGATACATAGATAGTTAATGAACATTACCAATAGTCAAAGGAGAAGAGAAGAGACTCAGAGAAGAGGAACAAGAACTGGTTTTAGTTGCCATTGATCAAAGAACAAGCCTCGGAACAAGCACTAACCGGATGCAAACTTTGCCAAGGAATGCAAAGGGTGGGGCTCGTTATTCAACATGGTGACATCAACTCTAAATTAAGGTAAATATTATTAATTCATTTATTTATTTATCTATTTAGCAGATGGACAGATTGTGATGGTAGATTATTATAAGTTAGTAGTATATTTATACTTTATTGTTCTCATCTCTCTCCTCCTATCCTTTCTTTCATTTTCTTTCTCGTAGGAGCTTGTGGCTTTAAAAGACTCTCATGTATTTAATGTAAATAATGTAATGTAATGCATGTTTCTTAATGTATTTATATTCATTTATTGAATAACAGAGAGATTTTGAGCAGTCATGTCATGTTATTTTAATTTTAAATTTTTCAGAAAAGTACATGTACACAAAGTTAACTTTTTAAAAAATTGCTTATAAGTTATTTGAAATTTTTATTACATTTTCTGATACATATTACTGTCCTTATGCCATATAGAAAATATGGGTTTAGTCAGAAAAAATTTTTTAAGTTATGGCAATTTTTAAAATCAGTAAATTAATCAAAAATACCTAAGGCTACTGCTTTTGTTCAATAAATGGCTCCAAAATTGACCCCAATTTTTATCATATTTTAAATACAAATTCATGTCCTATGCTATGTAGAAAGTTTGCGCTGATTCTGACTAAAAATTTTTGAGTTACATCCATTTTTTTAAATGCCAAAGTTTTGAAAAATGTCCAACTAAGGCTATAGCCTATGGTTTTTCCCAAGAAATGAATCCAAAATCACCCCAAATTTTATTACATTTTCTGATACATATTGATATATTTATGTTGTGTAGAAAGTTTGAGCTGATTACGACTTAAATTTTTAAAGTTACAGTCATTTTAATAAAATACTGATATTCTAAAAATACCCAAGACTACAGCCCATGATTTTTTTCCAAATAATGGCTCTAAAATCACCCCCAATTATTACTGTATTTTGATGCATATTAATATCCTTATGCCCATGTGTGTGAGTCAATTAATTCCAATTAAGTTATGGTATGGCATGAAGTTAGAAATCAATAATATTTATAATGGGAACAGTCGTTAGTATAGCATCAGTTATAGACTTATAGGTTAGCTCTCTCTCTCTCTTTATTAAAGACAGTGGTACATGATGGATAATATTAATGATACTTTCACACTAAGTGATGTCATCAATGGCCCACTGCTAGCTGCTGCGTTTAGTACAGAGATGATTGGAGGACTCATAACTAACTCATTAGTACTGATACTCACTGCCTCTCATCTAAAGACTTGGAAGCAACCAACAACCATCTTTCTCTCTAACATGCTCCTCAATAACCTGGCCGTTGGGATCTGTATCATTCCTTTTGCTATCATAACAGCTGCTATGGGTGAGTGGATCAATTTTTTTTACACAGTTTGTATGAAATAAGAATACAACTTTGAGTGCATTTA